GAGAATGGCAGGCTTGTACAGATTCATGCAGGTCAGTTTTTCCACAGTATGGTAGAGAATCTGAGACACAGAATGACTTCCACAACCTCCTCTCATGTCAGCACAAGAGAAATCCCATTACATGGCCGGGAGGCCCGGGACAATCAGCTAATCCAGGACATGAAAGTTATCCATCCTGGAAGTTGGCCTGAAGAGGAGTTAGACGTACAGTATGGGGACGTAGAGGTGCTACGTTTGTGCGAAGTGCTGAAAGTGGACAGAAGAGAGACTGTTCAGGGCTTTCGCGAATACAAGGAAACCAGGGCATCCCGTACACCTGCTGCCATGGAGCCTCTACTGAAAGCAGTCCGAACCATCGCTGTCTCCACTAGTGAGTGTGAGCGGGCATTCAGCTGCATGAACGATATCCTTACTGCAAAAAGGAATGCTCTCTCTGTCAGCCGACTGTCCAGCCTGGTTTTCATTAAATGTAATGGACCATCACTAGGACAGTTCAATCCGGAACAGTATGTGAGGTCCTGGCTGGCAAAGGGAAGGAGAAGTGCTGATGAAAGAGCCTGTCCAGCTCCAGCCCCTGATACTGATGTCCCCAAGGCCTTCTGGAGCCTTTTCTAACAATGTGAAGTATATTGCAAAGCAGCTCACCCAGTGAGAAGACTTTTGGCATAATGTGCCGATTTGTACAGATCCTGGAGATAGAAGGACTTCAGACCAACCAGGGAGTTATCTGATCAGCTTGGTGTTCAATGTAACTCTTTACCATGGCTCAGACTTTGTTACTTGCAGTTACAGTTTCTCATTTTAGATTGTTGCAAATTTTGCATTTGTTTTTACATGTTCTTTGTTCATGCTCTTTATCATTTTTCTGAGTTGGAAAGTTAGATTGCATCATAGTTTACTTTATACATATTTGTATTCTTCAGTGGTGAAGTATATTGCAAAGCAGCTCAGCCATGTGAGAAGACTTTTGGCACTTTTTCGTTTTTCGTTTTCGGAGTTGGAAAGTTAGATTGCATTCAAAATGTACAGAAATACTTAATTTTGTTAAAGCTTTTTATAAAAAATGCTTCTGACCAGAGCTTTGTTTCCTTGTCATTAATGTTGAACACCACCAGAGGGGCTCTCACCTGAAAGGTCTCTGCTTCATGTGTCTTCAGCAGAAGATCTAGACTTTGATTGCTATATTTTCAGTTAATATTGACCTTACTGAGCTTTAGCCATATCCACTGCCTATCATACAAAATGTTACAGTAGTAAAGAGACAAACCCACCAGCATTATAGTAGCCAAATTCTTGTTTGTGGGCTGTATATATAAAATTGACTTGAAAAAGTTGCTGATTTTAGAGTACTGGCACCTTTTTCATTCCAATTCAAGCACTGCATAGGGCATGTCCGGGGGCATGCTCCCCCGGGAAGATTTTTAAATATTGAAGTCAAAAGCATCAATCTGGTGCACTTTGAGAGCAACATTAAGAGATCTATGGACACATCTCTCAACACCCATATGAAATAGAACTGTAAACAGATTTACTTTTTCTTTATGGATATTTTACAAATCACTCCCTTTTAAACTTTATTCTTTTTTTAATGTCATAGTATTTCATACCTGTTTTTAATTTTCTTATTTCTTTATAACAATAATGATCATATAAACGTGTGCCTCTGAAATAATTGTTTACATTAATGATGACCAAAACGTTTGAGACCCACTGAGATAACACTGAGAGAGTCCTTTAGCTCACTGAGTCTCTCAGTCTGACAGGAGAGGACTCTCCTCCACTTTGTTGTTGAAAAAATGTCTTATATCCATTAGCGTAGCTCGATAGCACCAGAAGCTAACAACAACGATCTCGTGTGGGTCTTCCCATCCCGCTGCGATTAGCCGGCTTCCCCGCTGACATCGTCTCTCCCTGCCGCCTACAGCCGGTGGCTATCAAGCTAGCTAACCAGCTAGTAGGCTGGTCACCCGGCTCCCACTCTGCACCAGGCTGTCAGTCCCTCCTACGATTCTCGTAATTCTGGAATTATTCTCCTGATATGCTGTGGATTATAATTCTCATATTATCTGGACTCACACCGCTCCTTCTTCCACGGTCATCCGGCTCCTGGTCTCTGCTGCCCGGGTCCCCAGCATTAGCTAGCTCCGTGCTAGCGCCACTTCACCGGATCATGCCGCCGCTCTACTCCCTGTCAGATCTCCACTCCTTTAATAACCGCCTGCGTCCGGACTGCATGGACATCCTCGCAGATAATGAAATACTCCGCAAACGCCGTCCTCCACACAGAGGCTCTGGCCGTACGTTTTTATTTCATTCCACGTCTCCACACTCCATCCCGTCCATTCGGTCCTGTCACACGCCCATACTACGCCATCACAACAAACAACACGTGAATCTGACCAATCTCCTTCCACTCCCCCCGGTCCACACAACCCCCCCCCCCCCCCCCCCCCCCCCCCTCAATGAACTGGCCCCCACAAAAACAAAAAATGTCTCTTTCATACACTCCGCCCCCTGGTATACCCCCGAACTCCGCCAAATGAAATCAAGGAAACGTCAACTTGAACGCCAACACAAGAAAACCACACTAACAGTCCATCTTCAAATCTACAAAGACTATCTCCAGCAGTACAGTAACGCACTCAAAGCAGCCCGGTCTAATTACTACTCACAACTCATTCAGTCTGGCTCCAGCAACCCCAAGCGTCTGTTCTCCACCATCAGCAAACTTCTCAAACCCTGTGACAACGCCACCTCATCCTTCACCACCGAACAGTGCAACTCCTTCCTCTCGTTTTTCCAAACCAAAATCAGCAACATTTACAGCAATCTGACACCCTCATCAGCACCCCCCACCTCCCCTCCTGGCTCCCCCCCCTTCACCTCACAGCCCCTGTCCCACTTCTCCCCTGTGACCCCCATGCAACTGTCTGACTTCATGACTGGAATTAACTCCACCTGCACACTTGACCCAATGCCCTCCAAATGTGTTAAAGAGAGCCTCCCTGCCATCTCCCAACTCATCGCCACCATCATTAACTCCTCCCTCAGATCTGGATCAGTTCCCCCCTCTCTCAAACTGGCTGCTGTCACACCCATTCTCAAAAGACCTGGACTCACACCTGACATCATGTCCAACTTCCGGCCCATCTCAAATCTCCCCTTTCTGTCAAAAATACTTGAATGTGTCATTGCCTCACAACTTAAAGCCCACCTCAGCTCCAATGATCTCTTTGAGCCATTTCAATCCGGTTTCCGATCAAAACACAGCACCGAAACAGCTCTTCTCAAAATCACAAAGGACCTCCTCCTCTCCTCTCACTCCGGCAACCTTAACATCCTCATCCTCCTCGACCTCACCGCAGCATTCGACACCATCAACCACGCCATCCTGCTGTCCCTCCTCGAATCATCACTCAACATCACCGACACTGCACTCTCCTGGCTGAAATCCTACCTCACCGACAGACATCAGTTTATCAACATCAACAACTGCACCTCCTCCACTGCTCCTCTGTCCCAAGGCGTCCCCCAGGGTTCGGTGCTTGGCCCCCTCCTCTTCATCCTCTACATGCTCCCCCTTGGCAAAATAATTCGTCGCCACAACCTTCAATTTCACTGCTACGCCGATGACATCCAACTTTATATCTCAACAAAGACCATCACCCCCACAACACACTCCACTCTCACCAACTGTCTCTCAGAAATAAAAGCATGGATGCAAACAAACTATCTCCAACTGAACAGTGCCAAATCAGACATCATCATCGGCCCCCCATCCCGTATCAAAGACATCCAGAATTTCAACTTCACCATTGACGGCAACACTCTATCCCCCCCCCCTCACATCCGCAACCTCGGAGTCATCTTCGACAGTCAGCTCAAATTCAACCACCACATCAATCACATCACCAGGACCGCCTTTTTCCACCTCAAAAACATTGCCCGTCTCCGCCCATCACTCTCCTCCTCTGCTGCTGAAACCCTGATTCATGCATTCATCACTTCATGACTCCTGCAATAGCATCCTCTACGACATACCATCCAACCTCCTCAATAAACTCCAACATATCCAGAACTCTGCTGCCCGCCTCCTCACCCACACCCGCTCCCGAGACCACATCACTCCTGTCCTCCAGAACCTCCACTGGCTCCCCGTCCGTCAAAGAATCAACTTCAAAGTCCTCCTGATTACTCACAAAGCCCTCAACAATCAGTCCCCCCCCCTACCTCACAGACCTGCTGCACCACCACGCCCCTTCCCGCTGCCTCCGCTCATCAGAAGCCAACCTCCTATCCATCCCCACCCGCACCAATCACCAGACCTGGGGGGACAGAGCCTTCTCCGTCGCTGCCCCCTCCCTCTGGAACTCACTCCCCCAACCCATCAGAGACTGCACTGACCTCACCACCTTAAAAAAACTCACAAAAACTCACCTCTTCAATCTGGCTTTTAATGTGTGATTGTTTTTGTATTATTTGACTTTAACTTTAACTATATATTTATTTGTTGTTCCTTCCTTTTCTTTTCCCTTCACTATATCTGTAAAGCGTCTTTGAGCACCTGTAAAAGCGCTAACAAATTAAATCTATTATTATTATTATTATTAGGAGGAGATTCAGGTGATATGGTGGGGGGGGGGGGTACCTTGGTTGGTTATTGGCTAATGGTTATACAAGCCAAAAAAACCATTATGACATCATACAGTGGCCAAAATCTGATCAGCTGATTTTCAGACAGGTTTCTATATAAATGGATCAGGACAAAAGTGAGGGAATCTTTTTTCCCTGAAACTTTCAGAATGTCTTTACACAGAGGGGACACATGTTGAGGTAGAAAAGACATGAAAAAGTGGATTTTGCATAATAGGTGACCTTTAAAATTGGTCAGTAAAATGTTATGATAGGACCAAAGTTTAAACAAACCGCTTTGATAATTGACAGTATTGGGTTGCGAGAGTGTATTTGCTGATGTTTGTGTGTTTGTATTGATGTCTTACAGAGACGTGTTTCCTCCTGTTGCAGGCTTTGTGTCTCAGGCCCAGCTTGTGTTTGGCAGCAGAGTTATCCAGACAGCCGAAGGGGCTGGCCGGCTGGCTGAAGTCCCCCGGGACCACCAGAGGACTCACTGCTCTGCTGGAGCCCGACCAGGACTGCTGGAGAGAGGACACAGAGGGTCACTGATTACTGAGTAACAGGGAAACACTCACAGGTAGAGTCGATTGTGGTAAAAGGTGGAGTTTCCCTTAAACGATGAGATAAGGAAACCAGTGGGGGGAGGGGGGTCCAGCTGAATAAATATTAGCTGTACTTCTCTGCAGCACCAACACTTACTCTGTCATCACTGGAGAAGTATCCCTCTCACATTTTCCCTTGCTTCAACAATACATCTTAGAGACGTTTCCCTTTTCTCATCCATTATCCACAAAAAAAGTCCAAATGATTCAGTTTGACATCTCGACACTTCATGTGATGTATTATAACTTTTTTGTACAACTGCCAACGGTAATCATGACTCTCCTAGTCACAACTTTTGAATGAAATTACCTTTTTATTATTATTTTCATTGTTGGCAGATAGAGGATTTACAGACATAAAAAAGAAGAATCCAGGTTTTAAAGCGGCCATATTTTGCTAATTGTCTTGTTCATATTTGTATTTTTTCCTCTACTGGGATATGTTTCCATGCTTTAATGTTCAAAAAAGTTCTTTATTTTCTCATACTATTTTAACCGGATTCATAGATAAATAAATAACTAAAAGCCGCCAAAAAAGAACTCTACATGAAGATATATTGAGTTATTTCCACATAGCCAAATACAATGTATTTAATCTTAATCCATTGTATTGGGTTTCTTGGCAGAAGTTTCAGAGATGAATATCTCCATAAACAACAGCAAATTAAACTAAAGCAATTAGCATGGTCGATACCACTAGAGCAGTGGTTCCCAAACGGTGTGCCGTGAGGCAAGTCCGGGTGTGCCGTGGGATTTTGTGACAACCATACGTTATTATTGCAATATACAACTACACAAAAATAATTATTTTTTAATTTACTATATCAGTACTTTGTAGGTTTATATGTACGTAATCTGCGCGTCCACATCTCCACGTGCAGTGCTGCATAAACATGGCTGAGTCAGCGATAACTCTCGAGGGGTGGAGGTATGCCCATTACTTTGAGTTCGTCCGAAGAATAGACAGGAATGTGACGGTGAGGTGAAAACTGTGTCCAGGCCAGAAGCTGTTATCCACTGCTGTAAACACCACGTGGTCAAACCTCAACAAGCACCTGCAAAGAACACATGCTCAGGTGAAGCTACCGCACACACTATTTGTTGTTTATATCACGTAGTCTGTTCTTCTTCTCTGTCTTCCGGTTGTTGCCTGTTTTGAATGACAAATACACACTACCACCGCCTGCTGGTAAGGAGAGTTATTGCCACTCACGCATACGCAGTTTGTACGTGCTCGGCGAGTATAGTAACGAATTACTTTATGTAGATAGTTACGAAGTAGTGTAATATATTACTTTTTTAAAAGTAATATGTAATCAGAACAACAGGAGGTCACGGCTCTCTGTTGAACAGGACTTGCGAGTGGCCCTCTCCTCAGCGCCCCGACAGGCACATGTATCTCACTAATTTGTAAGTCGGCAAACATATTTACAATAGCACATGTTTCAATGCTGATTGCTGAAATGTTACATTTATAATTTGTAGTTCAGGACCATGCAGTGCAGCTTCCTTGCATTGACAGTTCTCTGTGCTGAATTTCTGCTGAGTTTCCTTTGCCTCATTTTTAACATTGTGACCTGTCTGGTTTAAATGAGTGTGTTGCTGATTTGATGAAGCCTAATTTGATAAAGTTTCAAATTAATTTCTGAAATATTTCGTTAATAAATATTTCATGAGTAATATAGTTGTCTTTGTCACATTTTATTTGGCATTAGTAAATAATTATGCACATTTACAGATATTTTACATGATATGAGTGATAACACGTGTTATAAGGGCTATTTTGCACAATAGGTGTGCCTTGAGATTTGTACTTGTCCTTTGGTGTGCCTTGGGCACAAAAAGTTTGGGAACCACTGCACTAGAGGTCATATGACATGATTATGATTTGGAAGAACTCAACATTTAAAACTCACATTATTGCCTGATTTTGATTAAAACGCATAACTAGACTGAGGGATGGTGAGACAGCTAAAGAGACATAATCCCGTTTTTAATTTGTCAACATCTAGATTTCTGTTTATCGAGCTTTATGTGTGTGGTGTGTGTGTGTGTGTGTGTGTGTGTGTGTGTGTGTGTGTGTGTGTGTGTGTGTGTGTGTGTGTGTGTGTGTGTGTGTGTCTGTGCATGTCTGTGTCTGAGAGAGAGAGAGGCGGGTTAAAGCAGAAACTCTATAACTACAAGCAGATACGCTGACTGCCATAGAAACCATTGGAATGCACTCTGAAGACACACACACATACCATGTATACATCACTTCAGGGGACATTACATTGACTTACATGCATTTCCTGGAGACTTATCCTAACCTTAACCATAACCAACACATGCCTAACCCTAACCCTTACCCTTAACCTAATCCTAACCAAGTCTTCACCCTAAAATTAACGATTCCCCTCATGGGGACCTCTAATTTGTCCCCATAAGGGAGGCGAGTCCCCACACGTGACTCTATAAACAGATTTAGGTCCCCACAAGCAGTGGCGTGCACAGACATTTATAGGGGCAGGTGCTCAAGAGAAAAAAAAGGGACACCTTCTGAGTCGTTGTGGCGGTCGCGCCGAAATTGTGCGCAAAAATTTGCCGGATAATGGCGGATTTTGTTAAGTTTCTTTTTGGTTTTTGGTTACTTTATTTCGGTGTTAGGGTTATGTTATTTAATTCTTATTTTTGCCTGATTTTACTGATTTTTTATCAATTTTTTTATTATTTTAACATTTATTTTTATTATTCTAAATGACTTAGGGGGGTCCAATCTGAATCCCCCAGGATTGACGCCCCTGGTGGAACCGCCGGCTGCCTTAGTAGTGTGAGATTTATTAAAGGCACATCTTGTATGTCGTAATTGCATATATATTTATTTCAATAACCATATGCTGTCTGATGCAGATGCCTATCTAAAACAAATCAGATAGTAGGCTTACTAGCTTCTACTCGCTAAAGCAACTGTAGTCAGGGAGGCAAACTCATCAGGTATGAAAAAGGTGACAAGGATCCGAGCCCCCCGACCCCACGGAATATCGGCTTTAAAATGAGGAATAACAGAGGATGTTAGCAGTCAGAACAACTAAAGCAGCAGGTAATAATAACAGAAACGCCAAAGAGTTACATCTAATAGAAATATATAAAAGCATTTATTTTAATTGTGTAGCAGTCAGTTTATAATTTTGGCAGCACTGTTGAGCATTTTGAAAATGTATTTTCATGCCTTAGTATTTTTATAATACTTTTCTACTTTCACTAGAGGAACATTTTGAATGCAGGACTTTTACTGTAACAGAGTATTCCTACACTCTGGTACTTCTACTTTTACTCAAGTACAAGATCTGAGTACTTCTACTTTTACTCAAGTACAAGATCTGAGTACTTCTACGTTTATTAAGTACAAGATCTGAGTACTTCTACTAAAGTAGGCTACAAGATCTGAGTACTTCTACTTTTACTCAAGTACAAGATCTGAGTACTTCTACTTTTATTAAGTACAAGATCTGAGTACTTCTACTAAAGTACAATATCTGAGTACTTCTACTTTTACTCAAGTACAAGATCTGAGTACTTCTACTTTTATTAAGTACAATATCTGAGTACTTCTACTAAAGTACAAGATCTGAGTATACTTCTACTTTTACTCTAGTAGCCTACAATCTCTATACTTATACCACCTCTGTTTATAGCCTATGAAAAAAACTATTAGAAAACGAAGGCTAAAGCTAACGTTAGCAGATAGTGACAATGATATTGCGACAGAAAAACTTTTCAGTTCACATCACGCTCTGCCGCTCTGCTCTGAACACCTGAACGGCCCGTTCTAACAGCTGTTCACCAGCGGCTCAGTCTGTGCCACAGTGACTCCGCACAGTTAACGAACACACCCTAGATAATGTAGCTGACCCTCATCCCGGAGCAGCAGAGTTCAGCCGGCCCGACAGGCAGGAAGACTCGAGCACACAGCTCGCGCTTCATATATTACAAAATAACACCATGCGCGTCATGATGGCACATAACAGCTCGCGACCGCAGATTATTTCGGCGATTAGATAAAATGTAAATTATATTTGACGCAACTTTAGTTACATTTCCATGACTTTTCCAAAACTTTGGAAAAAATATTGTTTTCCAGGGCCTGGAATTTGCATTTTGAATTTCCATGACTTTTCCAGGTTTTCAATGACCGTACGAACCCTGTATAGTTTAGTTTGACATCTGATTTAGGGGATTAAACAATACACTTGTTGTATTTGTTACCTGGTGGTTACTTACTTGGTCGTCACTAGGGCACTTTTAATCGTGTTGCTGCGTGCTGCTGCACCACACACCCGCCGTGGCCTTTCTGGCTGCGCGTTCACGTTGAGAGCCGGGAAGGGAGGGGCTGCAGCCAGGGCACGTACGGGAGTGCCGCGGGGCACGCGTGGGGATGTCTGACAAAATTACAACGCGCATTTGAGGCATTGTTGTATATATTAGAAGCTTTTAATCCAGAATTGATCGATGTTACCATGAGCCACATACAGTACACTGTAATTTATTTATTTTTTAAACTGTAAAAAACGAACTTTCAAAAAGGGCACATTGCTGTCCAGAGGGCAAAACTGGCAGGTGCTCAAGCACTACCTAGAGTCTATGTGTGCACGTCTCTGCCCACAAGTATAGTAATGCTAGGCCACACACACACACACACACACACACACACACACACACACACACACACACACACACACACACACACACACACACACACACACACACACACACACACACACACACACACACACACACACACACACACACACACACACACACACACACACACACACACACACACACACACACACACACACACACCACACACACACACACACACACACACACACCAGCAGTTTACTCTGCAGCTGATACAGTATGTGTTTTTGTTTTGAATT